CGGAACCCCAGGGCAAGAAAGCTCAGCCCTGGGCACTATATTCAGTTTGTTGGCACCAGACAAGCACAAAACCATCTGACCAAGGAACAGCTATGATCAATAAGCATTTCCAAATAAGGATATTGATTGCTTTGCAATTAGCTAATGCATATATATCAAAAAGGCTTAAGGTGGGACAATTTAGAAGCAGTCTGTGTCTGGAAAATGGGATGTGAAGCCCCGAGACACCAGCTCAGTGACTGTATTTGGTGCCCACACTCGGGCTAAAAGGTTTCCACTGCCCTCTGTTATGAGCAACAGAGCAAGTAATTGCAGACCTCCAAAAACTCAGACCTTCAAGACTATCACCTGCCCCCTTCTTGGCAGAGTTTGGGGAGGAAAACATCAGTTTATGGAGCAAATAAAGCTCCAGGACCTGGGGTCCCTGCAGAGGATGAGGAGAAGGTGAGCTCCTTCCCAGGCAGTTCTCACCTTCATGCCAAAGGTGAAGATGGTGATGAAGAGCTTCATGACCAGGGCCAAAGCCAGCTGCCACATGGCCGTGTAAACGCCTGGGCCGGCCGCTCGGTCCGGCAGGTCGTCCCCTTTGGTGCTGTTGAAGTCGTTCACGTACTCGCAGAGCTTGGAAGAGTCCAAAATCCCGCAGTCGTTGAAGAGCTCCGAGATCAGCTCGCTGGTGCTCATCCTGGTGTACTCGTTGGGGAAGGCCAGGATGGCCGTGATGGCAGTCACCACAAACACCTCCAGCACCGGGTATTTACCAAGCTTGGTCGTCTTGCGCCGCCGGCACCAGGCAATGTTGCTGCGGATGAAGAAAGCTCCCCAGAGCCCACCAAAGATCCCCAAAAGGATGAAGGGCACAAGCTCCAGGAGGTGCCAGGGCATGTGAAACTCCACGTAGAAGAGAACCAGGCGGCTGTTCCCAAAAGGGTTGATGGAGCGCAGGGTGAAGGCGGCGACCAGAGCGGCAAAGAAGGAGCGCCACAGCGTCTTGAGAGGGAAGTAGTAACTGACCTGAGAAGGCAAAACCAAAGCAGATTCAGGCAACTTGAACACTTGCCCCAGTAACAAAGTCACCACCACGGGAGGTAAAAGTGAGGACTGGGATGGGTGTGGGCTGGCTGCACGCCCCCATCTCCAGCCAAACACCCCAGGCTCTTCTGAGCTCCCGTCCAGTGTGGACTGCAATGACCAGGACGGCTCCTGGCCTGACCTCCAATGCAGCACGTGCCCTGTGATCTGTGCAGCGGAGGCGACTCACTCGGACAACAGAAGCTGTGACAGATCAGCCATCAGCTGAACCTGGAGCAGTATTGGCCTCGCGTGCTCTGCCAAGGCCGGCAGTGCCAGAGAGCGGTGTCTGCCATAGCTGCCGCCACCACCACTGCTCAGTGAGCAAAACCACCCCGCTCCTCCTCTGGGCTCAGCCCTGAAACAACCAGCGGTGACTCTGCATCAAGAGTGAGGATCAAGAGTTTTGGGGAAGAAAAGCAGTGGATGAGCCCGGTAGGTTTGTTCCCAACCCTGGGACAGGGTGGACACAGGGAAACGATGACAGAGGCAGTGAGCTCAGCCTGCACTGCTGAGCACGGGCACACCAACAGCTTCAGCAAAGCCATGCACAGACACCAACCCAAATCAATTCTCCAGTGTTCGTGAGAATTACCTGAAACCCCAATAAGCTTTTAGGTTGCTTGGCCTTGCAAATACACCACCAGTGAGCACTCAACAGGGTCTCCTTTCCACACCCCAGCAGCTATGAGAGGACTGCGTTTTTAAACCAGCAGGGTCAGTTGTTGCAATACAAGGCAGCTCGCCAAGAGCCAACAGAAAAATGCTGCGTTACCTCTTCCAGGCTGAAGAGCACTCCTCCGATGGGCGCACCAAAGGCTACAGACACACCAGCAGCTGCCGCTGCCGATAACACCTGAGAGAGAAACCACAGGCAGTCAGACACTGCCAGCCCCCCTTTCGCTGTTTGTCCTCAATTTGTACAGTTTTTATCTCCAGCGAGCACAGAGTAACCCAGGGCCTGACCTGTTTTAGGTCAGCAGGGAAGAGATGGAGCAAGCCAGTTCCCTAGGGAGAAGGGCTGCAAGCAGCTACAACAACATGGGTGTTCGCATCTCAACACTCCCTCCCCAAATCAGTGGAAGTGGCATTGCTGGCAGTCACCTTTTTCTGTTTCAGCTGATTTCATGCTGTGCTTTCACCTCAGATAAAGCTTCAGGAAACCAGAGCATCAGGAATTTCACCTCCCAGAACACCGACTCCTGCCTGTCTTGCATCCATAGCACTCCTCAGGTGAGGTAACGCAGTGGTGCTGCAGGGCCACCCAAAATCCTGCCTGTGCGCTGGGTGGGGGCTGTCGGGTTTGGATCAGGAGGTAAATTGGCTATGGTGACCCTACACAGCTCACATTAACCCTTCTCCAGGGACATGGCCAGAGAAAACCATACAATGCTATGAGGAACCACTCCTGAGCTCTGTATTAGGTGTCAGCTTGGTTCTTACACTGTGCCCATCATGAAAGCAAAGCCTTCATCCTGCTCCTACAGCCAAGGCCAGGCCTCTCAAACAGCCCTAGCATAGTTTATATGAAGTTAAAACAAACACAAACAAGCTTTGGCTGAGACTGCTTGAAAGAGCCCAGCAGGGCCACAAAGATGCTGGAGGGAGTGGAGCATCTCCTGCTGAGGAGCGGCTGAGGGAGCTGGGGCTCTGGAGCTTGGAGCAGAGGAGCCTGAGGGGTGCCCTCATTCCTGGGGATCCATTGGGAAAGGGCAGTGCCAGGAGGAAGGAGCCAGGCTCTGCTCTGGGATGGCCAATGGCAGGACAAGGGGCAATGGTCCCAAGCTGGAGCACAGGAGGCTCAAGGTGAAGATGAGGAGAAACTTTGTGAGTGTGAGGGTTATGGAGCATGGCCCAGGCTGCCCAGAGAGGTTGTGGAGTCTCCTTGTGTGCAGACACCCAAAGCCCTGGCCGTGTTCCTGTGTGACTGCTCTGGTGATCCTGCTGTGGAGGGGTTGCACTGGGGGAGCTTCCCAGGGCCCTTCAACTCCTCACATCCTGGGATTCTGTGAACACCCGTGTCCCCCGTACCTCTCTGCGCTTGGCTTCGTTCTTCCTGTACTTGGTGAAGAGGTGGCACAAGATGTTCCCGCAGCAGCAGGCGACGTGCACCAGGGGCCCCTCCTTGCCCAGGCTCAGCCCAGAGGACACAGCCAGCACTAAGGTGATGGTTTTGACGATCAGCGTCCACTTGCCCAGGTAGCCTCTAATGATGAAACCACTTAAGATAGTTTTGATCTGGAAGTCAAGCACACAAAGCTCTACAGGCTTTCAGGCAAGCCCTGCTCAGAGCTCCTGTTTTACTAATCCCAGTCCTGCCCTCAGCTTTCAGAGCCTCCCAGCTATCAAAATTAATGTAGAATCAATAAAAACACCCCTCGGTGCAAAGGCAAACACAGCCATTGGAGTTCTTCCTCCGGGGTCGCTATCCCTGCTGAGAAAAACCTGAGGCCTGCCACAAATGATGTTCTTTTGTTTGTACCTCCTGCAGCAAATCCCCAAGTATCTTACTTTTTAAAGGGGCTGCACGGAGACTTAACTACCAGGCTTGTTTGAGGAATAGTTTGGAAAAACCCTCATATATATGAAGCCACCACCAAAGTTATTACTGCAGAGCAGGCACATGTAATCTTTGGGCAGTGGATCCCTACCCACCCCAGAAACACCCAACCCGCTTTCGCTCTCACTCACCTCTGGGATCCCCGAGCCGCAGGCGTAAGGAGCGAACCCCTTCACAAGCAACACGGCGAGGAGGGAGAACAACAAGGCCCAGAGAACGTACATGAAGTAGTTGAGAATATAGGCAAAAGCCCCCTGAAACGCAGAGAAAGTTACCCAAAATTAGATCATTTCAACCGGGATCACGTCAAAGCTGCGCACTGAGGCACACACAAAGAGCATGCACCCTCCCGTCAGTCGTCAGCCGAAAACAAAGCAAGACTGAGGTTTCAAGGACAAGTTACATCTGCTGGGTTACAGCGATGTGAACCAATCGTGTCTTTAAAGGCTGCTAAATAAAACAGCAAACAAGGTGCACGGGCAGCCTGGGACTGGGATAAGCGCTGTCCCAGTTACGTTTGCTGCTCTGGGTAGAGCTGCCAGAAACACAGGAATTAAGTGGGCGAAATACCCTCCAAGACACATGGCCACAACACTGCACATGTAAATGTGTAGATTTAAGTTGTTAAAGCCCCCAGCAAGGGATGTTAAACACCGAACAGCTAGAGCTGGCACCTCCAGCACACACAGCCCTGGTGTGGGGTGACATGGGGACACAACACAGGACATGATAAGCAAAAGGGGGCTGCAGGTGTGCGCACACACACACACACAGACACACACACACACACACACGTCACCTCGCCGTGGCCCAGGAGCAGCTGGGACCAGCTCTGCCACTCGGGACACTGGTCTCTGTCCTCGAAGTTGGTGTTGGATTTCCAGCAGCAGTGCTCGTGGTTGAACCAGAAGCCGATCAAGCACACCCCTTCCTTCAGATCTGTCATCCAGTGCGCCGAGATGTCGATCAGCCCCGCTAATGACCCTGGCGGAAAGGGAAAACAGAGAGGATTTAATCGTCACCTCGTGCAGACTCAGTGTCACGTTGTGCCCCATTACTTTTTGGCTCGCCTACCCACACATTGAGCAGTGCTGACCATTTTGCCTACAACTAGCTTTTATTCTGCAGAGCCAAATGGGAAGATTCACTTAAGTGTGTGTGTGTATATATATATATATAGGGGGAGAGAGAGAGAGAAGAGAGAAGGTCAGGAAACAAAGCACGCCTGATATTTCAAAGGTTGGCCATGGCAAACTGCATTCAAACCCATCCTACATTGCTAGAAATTAATTCTTCTCAGTTACACTGAAAAAGCACCTATTAAATATGGCACAGCGAGGAGTCTGGGAGGCAGAGGGGGACGTGCTGCATTTCTGGAGGACACAGATAAAACGTGTCCCCCATCTCCAGCACAGGAGCTGGGACCCAGAAGCTGCAGTAACAACGCTGGGACGGGGATAACTTTGGATTTGGGGGAAACATTTCCAATAGCAATATAGACAGATGAACAAGGAAAAAACCCAAATAAAAATCCCAAACAAACAAACCTGAAATACGAAAGGAGGGGAAAGTTACAGCTGTGCCAAGTACAACAAAGTAAGCAGAGGGTCAGTACAAAAAGTAATTCAGGTTTTGAGAGAGGACTCTTCAAGCGATTTCTTGTTGTTCTGATACAAAGAACCCCAGTCCCCACAGATAAACGCTGCTGTCAGCTCTGCTCTCAGCCAAACACCACAGCAGCACCGAGGCCAGGAGCAGAGACCTCTGCTCTGCCCGAGCTGCAGAGGCAGCAACAAACACTGAGCAAACCCTGCAGTTAATGAGCAACCGCCCGCAGGCTCCTCTGGAGCCATCAACAGCGAATTGGGTTGGGTTGGACTGAGCTTGGTCCCCACGACGGCCACTTCGCTGCTCTGCGGGGACATCTGCACCAGCTGGGCCACCTCTGCTGCACTGGGCACTAAGTTTGCTTCTGAGGATGTGTAAAAGGCTCTGAAAAAAGCCTGGCTACCCACAAAACACCTCTCCCTTTTCAAATCTCGGTATAGCAGGGGAAAAAAAGAGCAACAAGAAACTCTGCTGGCAGCCGCAGGCATTAACCTCCCCGGCGTCGAGGAACGGCGCTCTGCAGAGATGCTGCGCAGCACGGCTCGCTCCTCTGACCCAGCGTCTGGATCAGCTCTGCTTTGATGATTGCTTTTATTTATGTATCTATTTCAGAGCTCTGTGCCAGCTGCAGATCCAGAGCAGGGCCCAGGACAGCTTTCAGCACCAGTTTTCTCCCTGGGTATTTACACAAACACAGCCTCAAAGCATTGAAAAATAATTCTCTGTGATTTGCAGAGCCATCAATACCAGCACAGCCCTTGCTCTGGGGACAAAATCTCCCACTCCAGGGGTCTGCCAGGGTCAATGGGAGGAACTGACACTACCACTGCAGAACCAGGGCTCGGTTTCAACACCAGCCTTGCTCTTACCTGCCAAGAGCCCGATGAGAAGCATCAGGAGCCAGCCGGAAAAGGCATCGCTGACGCTGTGGATCAGTGCCCACGTGGACTCTTTACTTCTGCTGGTGATCTAGACAAGTGTTTTCAACAAGAAACAACAAACTGTTAAGATGCCGATCTACTTTGGTGGAAGCGCTCTAAAAATGACACTGTTAGTGGCAGATCAGCCCCTGACGTTCAAAACAGCAGCTATCACAACATGCTCTGCTTTGAGACAGAGCATCGGGCAGTGGCTGCCCTTACGGCTGGGTGCCCCAATCTGAGCTAAATGGGACTAATTCCCTATTTAGTGATTTCACGGCTCACAGCAAATGCAGCTCTAGTGAGGTGCACAAGAATGGATCAAAGATACTTCAATTTTCCCAGCAAAAGAGTGAAAATATTGCAGTAACGCTTCCCTCCTAGGTGCGATTCTCCACAAAAAAGGACAAAACTCCTCCCCTCACCTTTTAAAGCCACAGCGAGTTACCAACACTCGAACCCTCTGAGCAATCTATTAATGCCACCCCGTGGGTGCTGATACCCGGTACCGATACCCACTATGAGAGCAAACAGGAGCTGTCGGTGTCTCCATCAACCGCCTGGACACCCAAAACCCAAACAGGGACCACTCTGAGGGGCTGGGACCCGTCCCAGGCACCCCAGGAGGGTGAGCTCCCCTCAAAGCCCTGGGCCTGCCTGGCCCTGGCAAGGGGACAGCGGGGACAGAGCAGCCATTGTGCGCCCCATGCCGCTCCCAAGGGAGCATCCCAGACAAAAGGGCGCATTGATGCAAACAACTCAGGCTGGCTAAACGAGGAATAAATACAGCAGGAACCCGTGCTGCCTGAATGAGTGGCGTGGGGTCTTCTTCTCTGGATTTTTGGCTTGCAAATGCCACGAGCAGAAACGCCGCTGAATCAAGGCAAGGGTTGGGGCGGGTGCCAAAACGATTTCCTTTCTATTTCTTTTCACTGGGCCAGCCCTACACCTCTGTGTGACCAGCAGTGACTTCTGCCATGACCCGATTTCACCTCCTTTCGATAAAGCAGACGCGGTTCTTTGGTACCAGCATCTCTGCAGAGAGGATACGGGTCGTCCTGCTCCACCCCAATGGGCATCACCTCTGCACCCACACATCTGCACGTGGGAGAAGTCCTGGGGGTCTGTACTCTTAATCCATCGATGGGAACAGGTTTTTTGGGTGGCATGGAGCCCCTTAACTGGGTCTGTCTGGGCACTGCACTGTGTTGCGTGTGCTCACACACGGAGCAGGGATCGCATCCAGTCTGTGCCCTGCTGTTAAGATACTCGTGCTTTTGTGAGGCTCAGGGAAGAAGAAAAATAATTAAAGACTATTTTGGCGAGCAGATGGCCCAGCTGAGTGCAGTCGTTGCCCTGCAGGAGTCCTGCTAGCGAGGGTTTCTGGGGCATCGGGAGCACGCTGGGCACACGGGTACTTGATTTAGAGCGGCCCTTGCTTACTAAGCAAATTCCTTTAATTGCAGAGCAGTGCAGTCCTGGGAATGAACCCTGCAAGAATTGCACTTGGTTTTCTCAGGCACACAGCACAAACAACTCAAGAGGAACAGCAGCGTTCACAAGTGCAATGGTGTGAGCAGAGACGCACTAAATACGCTCAAGAAGCACGATCCTCTCGGATTCCTCCCCCGTCAGGAGCAAAGTAATTCTCCCAAATAACACATGCACCTTCCGTGAGTGGGAGCGCAGGTTTTGCCGTGCTTCAGAGTCGAGCACGTTTGCCGTGGCATAGGAAAATGCGCCATTAAGGCACTTAAGGTGTGTATCAGAAACCCAGAAAAGCTTTTTAAGTAAATAAAAGCCAGAAGAGAAGCAGCAATTGAAACACTGCAACGTGTTCAATGCAATGTCCCTTCTCCTCAAGCTGCAGGCTCTCAGCTCTCGTCCTAAGGGCTCTCCCTCCATCCAGAGCCTCCCTGCTCCACCATCAGGACCAGGATCACCCCAGTACATCCATTATTCCAGGGATTTTACCTCTCTGTGCCTGTCCCGGTCCCTGGACTTCTCTCGCACCCAGTCAATGGTGTTGAAATCTTCGTAGGTGCCCACACCAGGGAGAGGCTCCTCCAGGAAATCCATCATCGTGCTCGAGCCGTTCATCCCTCCTCCATTATACGAGGAAAACCCTGGGGGGAAATTGAGCGTTTCTTAGGGTTTCTCCATTTTTAGGAAAAAAAAAACCCATCACTAAAACAGTAACTTGGGGGAAACAACAGCAGCCTTGGACCCCAGCGGATTTCATCTGCCCTGGGAAATGCATCTCTTCCATCTGGAAAACATCCGTGCATCTGCTCCTGCTTTCATGTGCCCCTAGGACAAAACACTGAGTATCTCTGATCCGAAAAGAGCCTTTAAAACCCCCCTTCATGCCACACTTGCTCCTTGCCCCTTTACAAACGAGTTTCTCAAAGCCCCTTTGCAAGCAGTTTGAGGAAGGTGTTGAAACACACGGAGGGAAAAACAAAGCAAAGGTCTTTCGGAGCTCATCCACGGAAAACGAGCCGTTCTCTTGGCAGATTAATGGACACAGAACAGGTTTTTCTGTGCAGTTCAGCCCCAGCTTCATTCCTGCGTTGTGCAAGCGCCCGGGCCCCTGCTCCAAGTCACCACCACCGAACCCTTCACCATTTACTCCATCCATTCTCCCTTCTAATCCACCCAATGCCAAAAGGGCGAAACCCCCACGAGTTACTCAAGAAACTCCGTTACGTTTCAGCAGAGGTGCCCTGCAGCCCATTATCCACGGCGTAAAAGCATCCTCCGAAAATAGCAGTGATGTTACACACTGAATTCTGACTCTGAACCCCTTTTTTGTGCAGCCCTCGCCCCCAAGGGCCCC